GGAATTCAACTTTGGGGTTGCACTAAAGATAGTAATATACAAGTTATTCAAAGATTCCAAAATAAAGTACTAAGAAACATTGTTAATGCACCTTGGTACGTTCGAAATAGTGATCTACATCGGGAACTAGGAATTGATACTGTAACAGAGACTATAAGAAAGTACGCAAAAAGCCATGAAGATAGACTACATCGGCATGTGAATGTGGAAGTCATTGAGCTCCTAGACAATACTGAGCTAGTTAGAAGACTGAGAAGGGTGAAGCCGTTCGAGCTAGTGAACTGAAATTGAAAAACACAACAAAACAGTGCTATAAACACATCAAAATTGTGATTTACAGTTTAAGCAAAGTTGGGAAAACTGTTGAGTGAACCTCAAGAATTGTAAACTTTATAGTAAATTAGGTTAAAACAAAATTGCTAATTAGTCTTACTGACTAGATTGTAATGTAATAAACACAATGTGTTTGACAAATAAAAAAAAAAAAAAACTTAAAATATACACCCTGTATATTGATAACATTTGCGTGATCAATTTTTGACACATCTCAGGTTAAATTATAAAGAATTTGCAGAGAAGTTCCATAAGGATCTCTATCTTTATAAAATTTCTTTGTAATTTAGTTATAATTTAAGCTAAGATATGTCAAAAATGGCTAACGCAAATGTGGTCAACATATATATATTTGTAATCAGGAAGAAAAGGTCTTTCATTTTATCGCAAAATATACAGGGTGTTCTATTTAAAAAAGTCGAAGTTGTCTACGTTTCTTCATTTTTCGATGCGATTTTGTTTTTTCTGATAACGTTAAAAGAAAATATAGAAAAAAACTGTCAAATTTTGTATTTACAATTTTCTTCTATCTTAAATAGTAAAGGCTGTAGGTATGGTGCCAAATATAATCAAATACCCTGTACATACAATCATGTATTTATTCAAGCAGAATGAGGTGGCTAGACTACAAAAATTGCAGAACCGGGCTATGCGTATAATTCTTTCCTGTAGCAAGTATACACCAATAAACTCAATGTTAAGAGTAATGCAATGGCTACCGGTTGTGGAATTTGTAAGGTATAATGCCTTGGTTTTTATTTTTAAGATAAAGATTGGACGTGCTCCTGAATACCTTATAAACAAAATAGTTTACAACAATGAAGTGCATAACTATAATACCAATACCAGAAATAGAAATAATTTTTTTCTGCGATTGACAAGAAATGTCAGCATTTTTGACCTGTTGACAGGTCGCAAAACTCATTATTCTGGTATTTTAATTATGTTTCAATAGTTGCTAAGGAATCAATGAATAACAATACAGAAAACACTTTTCCGGCCTAGGCCGGGAAAGTGATTCTCGTACTGCTGAATAATTTGAACTAAAAGACAAACATTTAACAGGTATTGAACCGATCGCAGAAAAAATAGTATGTGTATTTCGGTGGAAAAGCACATTCTCGGCCTTCGGTGTTTGCCGGCCTCGGCTACGCCTCGCCCGTCAACTTACACCGTCGGCCGAGAATGTGTCACTTTTCCACCTAAATACACAATATACTATTTCATAACTCCAAAGAGTAAAAAATGAATTCAATTTTTCATAAAGGATTTAACGAGTTTAATAACCTACCAGAAGAGATAAAAAACTGCACTTCATTGTTGAGTTTCAAGAAAAAACTAAAAAATTATATGCTAGGTAATTGTGATATACTGGATCTTGTGATAACTTTTAAATTATTGTGTGTCGTTTGTGATTATTAAGTTTTGTTCTGTTAGTTTACCTATTTTATGAATTATTTTACATTTTATTTTTTACTTACTTCTCATATATCGGGTGACAATGAAACTACTACCCACGGCGGCATTCCTTAACGGCTCGAGATAGAAATATGCAATTCCGTAATTCGATAGGGTTGAATATTTTGAACAATTTCAATATAAAAACAATTGAATGGCTTTTCCGGTTTCACCGGAAATGGTATTGACTTTGTTATTTTAAATGGGACACCCTGTATATTATCTTTTTTTTGGACTCTCTGAACAATTCTAAATAACTTTTGTCTAACATACCCTATGTCAAAAATTGATAGTTTTTGAAATAGAGTGGCTCAAAAATATGTCGTAATTCCTATTTGTTTGTACCTATTTTACGTAAAAACTGAGTATGCCAGAACAAAAGAAATCATGGTTATTTGCTTTTTATTCAAAGAGGTATCCGATAAATAATAAAAGAGAAGAATTAATGCAAGGTAAGAAAAACGCGTTTTTCCAAAATGAATGTTTCAGTTTTTGATTGGACCCTGTACGAAAATGGTTCAACTTATGGAAATGAAAGTTCCACTACCCAATCCTACTTTTTTATCCTTTATGCAAATATGACAAATTCAACCTTCATAGACACTTGCAAAATTGAAAATTTGATAACCCATTTTCAAGTTGTTGGTGCTCATCTAAAGCCAAAATCAATATTACTTTCACTCATTTAATTAGGTAGTATACCACCAAAGTTGGCTATTTTGCAGGTGTCTATGAAGGTTGAATTTGTCATATTTGATAAAGGATAAAAAAGTAGGATTGGATAGTGGAAGTTTCATTTTCATAAGTTGAACCATTTTCGTACAGGGTCCGATCAAAACCTGAAACATTCATTTTCGAAAAACGCGTTTTTCCTAACGTGCATTAATTCTTCCCTTTTATTATTTATCGGATACCTCTTTGAATAAGGAGCAAATAACCATGATTTTTTTTGTTCTGGCATACTCAGTTTTTACGTAAAATACAAACAAATAGGAATTACGACATATTTTTGAGCCACTCTATTTCAAAAACTATCAATTTTTGACATAGGGTATGTTAGACAAAAGTTATTTAGAATTGTTCAGAGAGTCCAAAAAAAAGATAATATACAGGGTGTCCCATTTAAAATAACAAAGTCAATACCATTTCCGGTGAAACCGGAAAAGCCATTCAATTGTTTTTATATTAAAATTGTTCAAAATATTCAACCCTATCGACATACGGAATTGCATATTTCTATCTCGACTCGTTAAGGATTGCCGCCGTGGGTAGTAGTTTCATTGTCACCCGGTATATGAATATATTTTGTACTTTTGTAAACTAGCAATTTTTATGCTAAATAAAGGATTTAATAATAATAATACTCTTGTGTATTATAATCTTAAATAAAGAAATATTATTATTAATAATGGGTCATTAGGTAACTCATTTTGCTAGATCGTTGTTACTTAACTTTAAATCGAGCATTAAATACAGGGTTCTCCAAAATAACTTGAGTGCATAGGAATTTTGGAAACCATTGAAGATACAGGTTGGACCAAATGGGGAAAAAGTTGCGCAATCAAGTGCCTACAAATAATCTGTCATCAACTTCTTTGAACTCGGAATAGCAACAGATATACAGACCAAAAAGGAAAAAAGTGCGTTTTATGATTTTTTTTTTTGCCCTGTATATCTGTTGCCATTCATTTTCTTCCATTTGGTCCACCTGGGTCCTTATTCTTAAAACAGGGGAGCAGCGTTTTCAGGAGAACGAGTGTTCTGTCTTATGTTCGACTTTCTGTATTTTTAAGAAAATCCAAAATAGCTATCGGGATATTAAATATTCTCAACATAGAAGAAATATGAAGATGCAACCTTTCCAAAATTCGTATAAAAAACAGGATCTTCCATTTAAAAAACACTCCTACCATCGTGTAAGTCTTTTGTTTTGTTGCAAATGTTTTTTTGATGCAACAATTAATTTAAAAAATACATAAGATGACTATTTTGGATTGTCGCAAAAATACAAGAAAAGTCAAAAATAAACCCCCCCTTGTCAACAGCTGAAACTTATACCGCGCACTTGTTATATAAATATTTATGACAATCTGACTTTTTATATTATAGCAACTATTGGACTATTCTTCTTTATTTATAAATTATAATGTGGGTCAATTAGTTATTGAAATATAGGTATAAACAATGCTTTGTTAATAATGTTAATATTAGTCTTGGTAAAGTTTTCTCATAGATCATCAAAAATTTAAAATTATGTAAGTAGCTACAAATTTTTATTAATCTAATCACAATGTTAGTTTTGCTATCATTTGATTATCCAACAATTATTAACTACTATTGAACCAATTATTTGCATGTTGATATAGATAATTTCACATTTGGTTATTCTGTTTCATTTTGCGGGCAGATTCATATCAACAGCCAAACTAATAGAAAAAACAAGTTTGTGATTTGGTAATTTTTGAAAAATCTCTAACTATTATTAGAAATAAAGTAGGGCCTAGTAAGCCACCTTGCGAAACTGCTATGGAGGTTAATTCATTGGAAACTAGATATTGCATTATTTCTCAATTTGTTAATATGTAATTATACATTGTCTACAGTTGAATGGTTAAAAATCAAATCAGCACAGCGCACTTCCCCTGACTCCATAGTTTTGCAATTTGATTGATTATTAAACATTTCCTATTGTTGCAATAAAGCAAAACAATACAATTTCTTTATTTGATTTCCAATAAAAATTATTTTGCATTCCTAGTAGAGTATAAATCTTGTTCATTGAATATTATCTCACAATATTCAGCCTATGGACAAACAATACAGATTCAGTTCATTTCATTGACCCTTTTGGCATCAATCCGAACTGGTATGAGTTTACAAGACCTTGTGGTAATGCCGATAAATAGTCTCTAATAACATTCTCAAAGAGAATCTCTTTGTCTCCTATTTTTGCAAAATCTTTCTTGGTTGAAATTTTGCATATTCAAAACCCTGATTAATTTACTAGCGGACCAAATTTGTTAATGGAGTGCAAAAGTACCTAACATGCAATCACTTTTCACCAGTAGAATCAATTAAAAACTATATGAGAATTATCACATTCTAGTAAGATTATTTGAAATCTATTGGTCCATTTTTATTGTATTAGTTATAAACCATTGATCTGCCTTCTTTTTCAAATTTTCAACTTACACTCTTATTACTTTCAGGATGTTGTATTTCATAGAGTGGTGAAAGACTTTATTATACAAGGAGGTGATTTTTCAAATGGTAATGGAACTGGAGGCGAAAGCATCTACGGAGGCACTTTTGAAGGTAAAATGATCGGCGAGCCATGAATTTTTTTACAAAAGCTTGTATATTTTCAGATGAAAACTTTACGTATACTCATGACAAACCTTTCTTGCTATCGATGGCAAATAAGGGAAAAAATACTAATGGGTCACAGTTTTTCATGTAAGTTGTTTATTGAAATTATGGAGTAAAACCTCAAGAAAAATCTTGTATAAATTACTTAAACAAAAAGGTAAATTATTTAAATTCAAAATTTTTACTCTTCTGAGGAATCCATTAATATAGCCAAAAATTATGTGTGTATGCGGCTATAAATCAACTTTTTGGCAATAAAAGTACTAAATTTGTAATTGACTCCAAATGTTTCAGTCTTAAATTTAGGTTACCACTTGACACTTGCCCTCGACCGTAATCTCACAATCTTTTCTTTCAGCTCATAGCGTGTATGTAAGAGCAATTTTTAGCTATTTATTTTGTGTCTAAAAAACATTATTCTTTGTAAAAAAGAAACCTGAGCTGATCAAAATATTTTGCCTTGTTATGTTATAGTACAACACAACCGGCCCCACACCTCGACAAGTAAGTTTGCAATCTTAAGGGTTTCTGTTCTGGTATTTTATGCTTTCATTTTTCAGTGTTCATGTTGTATTTGGAAGAGTAGTGACCGGAGCTGACGTTATACGGCAAATTGAAAATTTACCAGTCGATGCCAATAGTAGACCATTACAAGATGCCAAAATTCTTAAGTGCGGCGAACTTGTTAGGCATGTTAAAGGTAATAAATTGTACTTGAAAATGTCTCATTGCATTATCTAATAATATGTGAATGTATTTTTAGCCAAGAAGATAAAGAAGCCAGCTGCTGAAGATGGAGAACAAAGTAGCAATTCTGAGTCAGATGATAGTGCTAAAAAATCTAAGAAAAAAAGCAAAAAAGATAAAAAGAAAAACAAAAAATCTAAAGAGTAAGTAAACTAATTAGAAAAATTGATATATTGTGCGAAATATTGTAATGTTGCCATTATTATCCATATATTTGGAGAATAATTTTATGGATTTTATTGAAGCTATATCTTCCATGTAGGTTTTAATGCTGCTAAAGGCTTCTGCTATGTGTGGTGTAGGTCATAATTAGGTTTGTCTGACGTTTCTTAAGCTTCATTATTTGAAATAGTTTTTATATTTGATGCTGCAGAACTTTATTTTTTTACAAATTATATCCAGAACTGATAAAGAAATTTCTCTTATTAAGTCTATTTCCTATAGTCAAGTCGATCACGTTTCTTTGATATATAAAGAATTCATCCAGTAAATAAATTATCTGAACATAGATACTCTTGAGTCAAATTTCTATCAGGTATTTCTGTATGTGTCTTTGGAGCTCAAGAAAAGTCAAAAATTAAAATTAAAAAATTGTTAGTTGGTTAAGAATTTTGCAGTTTGCAAATTAACATGTAATTGTGACTTTTTTTGAATTGAAGGAAAGAGGAAGGAGAAGAATCAGACCAAGAAGACGAAGAAGGTGAAGTCAAAGAACCTCACTGGCTAGTGACACTGTCAAATATTAAACCCGAGGATATTCCTGAAGTACCTTCAAATAAATTTCTAATGAGAGGAGGACCAATTAAAGAAAGAGATCATAAAGATAAAAGGAGAGGTATTCAAGCTTTTACCATCTTTGTAATTTTTGTTTTGTAAATTTCAACTCATTTTAAGGAGATCGTGATCTTGATAGGGACCGTGATCGTAATGACAGATACAGAAGAAACAGAAATGCCTATAATAATGGAAACGATAGAAATAGACGTCGAAGACCTGTAATTACAACTAAAAGTGGCAGAGTTGTCAAGGGCAGAGGTCGATTTGTTAGTAATTTCCATTCTTGTAAAATTATCATTTTTTTACATATTTATTCCAGAGATTTCATACACCTTCAAGAAGTAGGTCAAGAAGTGGAACCCCCTTACATTGGAAACAGGAGGAAAACAGAGTAATAAAACTCTCTGAACTGGAGAAAATTGAAGCTGAAAAAAAGAAGCGCGAGCAAAAGAATCTACTTCTCTCAAGTATGTTATAGTAGACTTTGTTTTTGGGTAAATAATTTGTTTGGTTTGTCTTAAAGTTACCCAGACACGACGTCGGTACCCTTCAACGGGTACTCCACCAACTTCACCGCCAAGAAGATCAGAAAAACGTCAAGACTATGACGCTTTAGATGAGCCTTTGGACTATGAAAACCACAGTGAAGAGGATCTACCCAAAAGAAAAGTTCCGAGTTTGGTCCAGTATCCATTACCAGGACAATATAAAGAGTTTAAAAGTATGTTTATTTTGGATATTTTTATTCTTTGGAAGAATGTAAATAACCAGTTTATTACAAAAATATCATTTTATAGATCAGAATGAGCGCAATGAAGCTGAACAACCAGCTGTGGAAGATCAAATAGTAAATGAACGTTCTGATATTTTGGCCATGGCCCTTGGAGTTCAGATAAAGAAAGGAGATGATCCTCAGACAGGGGATATAGTTTTTAGTGGTTATGCTAAAAAGCAACAACAGCAAGCGTTGCAGCATCAGCAATCCCAGCCAATGAAACAGCAGCGTCATCTCAGTAAACTGGATCAGGTCAACGCTCGTCTAGCAAAAATGGCCGGGCAAGAAATACCCAGACATTTGACCCGAATGAACAATAATAATGATTCTAATCAGGAGCGCAGAGGCAGGAATAAATTTGAAATTGAAAAACCACCAATGAACAGAGAGCATCAGGAATCTTATAGAAATGGTCGCTTCAATAATGATAATAATCTGCGTTCTAGACATGAACATAGACCAATTGAAACGCCAAGGAGTCGCGTTGAGGTGGTCAAAAAAAATGAGGGACATGAAAGAGATAGAGAACATCGAAGAACCGATAGAGAAAGAAGGCACAATTCTAGATCCAGGGTTGAAGAAAGGGACAGAAATATGAGAACTGTTGATCAGCACATAAGAACTGAAGAAAAGGTTAGACATCGGAATGATCAGCATTCTAGAAGGAGTGAGGAAAGGGATAGGTATAGAAGAAATATTGATCAACATGTTAGAAGGAGTGAAGAAAGGCGTCATAGAAATAAGTCCAGATCCCGTTCAGTTGAAAAACCGAAAATTGTTAAGAAGGAGCAACCTAAAAAACTGGATGATATGGAGGCCGAAGAGAAGTTTAAGAAACTGCTCATTTTGAGAAAGAAAATGGAATTGTTAGAGTTGAAGAAGAAAAACGAAGAAGATCAGGTAAAATAGAAACTATTTTTTGTTTGATTTTATAATTATGTTTTCCTCTTACAGAAAGTCCTGGAAGAAAAGCAGCGTAAAGCCAAAGAGGAGCAAGAAATGCTGGAAAGAGCTAAAAAGGCCAAACGTGAAGCCATTGAAAAGGAGAAACTTATAAAGACCATGAAAGTTTTGCAGGAAATGGAGCAAAAAACCTCTTCTAAGAAACGAAGAAGTCCTAGCTCTTCATCCTTGAGCAGTAGCAGTGACGATTCAAGGGACAGAAGGTAATTTTCATTGTTCAAATAAATAGCATTATTAACAATTCAAATAACATTAGGAGGAGGAAGGCTTTTGGTAGAAAACCCAGGGCCAGTTCTAAGGGCAGGTCTAGAAGGAGGGCTTCTAGTAGCAGCTCAAGCTCAGATTCCTCAAGAGATAGAAGAATGAAACGGCGTCGTTGAAAATATTCACTCTATATATAATTTTATGTAGCTTACCTAAGTTGCTTGGTATATTCATGATAAATAGATAATTATCAAGGTTTGTCTTTAGTAATAAACAGTGGATTAATATCACCAAATTAATTTTTAGTTTTTATTTATGTCTTTCGTACCTATATTCAAAACCTTATACAAATCTTCTATACTTCCAGTTATTGACTGTTTGTTTTGGATTTGTTGAAAACCAATAATATGTACTAATAATATAGAGAGCTGCATATTGGATGAAGTTCTTTGTAAAATCTGATATTAGTTTAATAGGTATTTAGAACTGAAAGAAAATGTAATAAAAGCAGATTGGCAATTTTTCAGGTATTGATAAATTACTCGCCTACAATAAAACTAATTAAGCTGATGCTGATCCATACGTGAAACTTCAGGCATTCAATGTGACATAATTTTTGAGTTTTTTGTGGTCATAGTGTCAACTACTTAAGTAAACACTACTCTGTACATGAATTTTACTAAAGTGTATCGACGAGTCAGCATTAATTTGGTATAAATACCGCGCCGAAATCCATTACCGGCAGACTAAGGCTAGTGCAAAGTACCTCAAATGGGAAAAGCCCCTCTAGCTAAGTCTCCTCCCAGTGCAAACTACCTTCAATGAGAAACGCCCTTCTGAGAGTATTGAACGCCGGCCGCAGACTAGATCCAGTGCAAACTACCTTTAATGGGAAACGCCCTTCTGGACCTGTCTCAAAGCCAGCTTCAGTCTTCAGTCACGCCAAGTGTACAAAGGGTACATGATACAGAGTGGCCTATAAGTAGTACGTCCCTCCGTAGAAGAGACGTCATGATACTATTTCTAGGGTAAAATTATTATTATTCAATACATTATCTTATTATACCTATACCAAGCGAGTTTTTTTCTACCTGAACCGCACCTATGCTCCCAGGTCACGCTGTTGTCATCCCCGAACGAAACGTATAGGGGTTGTGACTAATTTGGTGCATGCACCCAGGTCCCAGAAACAGCAGTACAGAAGAAATAACGCAGAATATTGACGTCACCATATTGAAAAAAAAAAGCAGGACACAAAACAAAATATACGACGAACTTCCACCCATGCAAATCCAGGGCCACAGAATTTTTAAGGACCTATGAAAGATCGGCTATAGCGAACGGATGGGACGATAAGTTAAAAATTGCATATGTTGAAACTTTCCTGGGACGGAGCAGCCAACCTGTGGTTCCAACAATATAAACAGGATAATGATGATCATGCATGGAAAGAGATCACGGAGAACTTCAGAAAAGAATTTGAAGATGTAGATTACCAGAAAAACTTTAAAAAGAAAGTGGAAAGCAGAAAACAAGGAACAAATGAAACGGTAAAGGAGTACCTTTTTGAGCTACTGGGACGGTACCACGATTATAAGGAAAAAATTGATATTGAGGAGTTTACAACAATTTTTAGCGAAGGATTAACAGAAGAAAGCTTCTCCCACTATTATTGGCTTACGAATTCACCCAATAACCCTCCGCAGACACTGGATAAGATAAAAGAAATCGCAGGGACAATAGATAGAGCGCCAAAGAAGAAAGAACATAGAGCCTCACCGGCAAACGAGACTCCAGAGACAGATACACCACCAAGAAGGTATAACAGTAATTTTCAGATACGACCACATTACGGCCGATTATCGCAAGGACAAAACTGTTATAAATGTGGTAAATTAGGTCGTGTTGCAACGGTTTGCAGAAGCCCACAACAAATAGCTGAATATCAAACAAACCCAACATGTCTCAATTGTGGCAAAATAGGGCATGTTGCGAAAGCATTTAAAAGTACACCACAACAGTCAAGTAATTACAACAATCCTGTTCCTGTATGCCAAAATTGTGGAAAAAAGGGACACATAGAAACAGTGTGTAGGGGGCCATCCACAGAGGGCCCAATACTATACGGTACGGAGCAATCGGAACAGTCCTGTATGCTACAACTGTGGAAAACAAGGACATTTGGCGACCACCTGTAGGAACCAACGGCAACACCCAAACGGCAAGGGATGGCAAAACTAGACGCCCCAACCATCCTAACCTTAGGGGAAGAAAGTAAAATAGGAATTCATCACATCACGATTAAAATCAATGAAAGAATGATGCAGGCAATAATTGACACAGGAGCCCAGGATAATGTGTTGCACAGGGATATAATACAGGGAGAAATATCAGAAAATAATAATACGGTTCTAGTTACTGTAGGAGGACACAAGATAAAAGTTTTAGGAGACACTAAAATCCCAATAAAAATACCAGGAAGTCCCATGTGGAATGGGACACTGAACGCCAAAGTTATTTCATCTCTAACACAACCTATGATCTTAGGAATGGAGTTTTTATTAAAAAATAAGGCAATTATAGATCTCCCACGCAAAGAACTAATTTTAAATGGGAAACATAGAATACCCTTAAGGCACACAAACAACGAAAAAAGACTTATGACGAGCCTAGTTTTAACAAAACAGCCGGTCAAAAAGAAGCAGCCCTCTGATTCGAAAATAGATGAACCGGAGTTCAACAAATTCATAAGAGGCCACACTAACATAACAACCGACCAGGTCAACGGTTTCCTAAAGAAAGAAAATGGAAATATAGGCATCCTACCAACTAATATGCCGTTTTAGCAGTAGGTGTAACTCAAGAATACAAAGCGAAAAAGGCAATTCTTAATACAGGCATTTGCTTCCTAGAAACAGGCAAAAGGGGACCATAGGAAAGTTAGCGATAACAAAACATGGGAAACAATCGACAATTTTTCTATTTACAAGAAAATTCATGAGAGAAAAGCCAACTTCAAGAAATATACATAAATGTCTAAGAGCACTGAGGGCCAACATCACAGGAAAATCGGTTGAAAAATTAGTTATCCCAAGATAAGGATGGGGATTAGGAAAAGAATGGGCAAGATTCAAACAAATGTTATATTTTCTATTTAAGGACACGGGCGTCACGGTTCTTATATACAGAGATGGACAAAGTCATAAAATAGAAGAAAAACCCGAAGAAGAAATCAGGAACCTAATGCAAATCAGTACGGAAACTAAACATAAAGTACACAAAATAGGTGTTACTAAAGATTATACGGTGTCTCAAAATGAAGTAAAGATATTGTGGGCTACCAATGCAGATATAACTTGGACTGGTTAGCAAATAATCATCTGGTACTACAAACGCACATTTACACAAAGGAAGGCAGCCTTATGTTAAAAGTGAAATCAAATACACGGAATCTATCAGTAGCTATTTACGCGGGAACAACAATGACATTTTTAGAAACAACAGAAATACATCACTCCTACAATCTCATCTACAAGAAGAGAAGATCCAGGAAAACGAAGAAGTAACGCTAGATGACCATAAAGTAAACGGAATTCCAAACGAGGAAAATAAACATGCATTAATAGAACTACTTCTGGAATATAATGACGTTTTTGCAAAATCGACAAAACGAATGGACAAAACCAACTTAACACAATACAAAATAGAAGTCGGGGACGCCAGACCAATCAAAAGTCGCCCGCACCGGGTATCGCAGAAAGAAAGACAGATCATACACAAACAAATTCAGGAAATGCTTGATAGCAACGTTATTAGGTCTTGCCACTCTCCATGGGCCAGTCAAGTGGTGCTAGTGAAGAAAAAGGATGAGAAAACCAGATTTTGCGTAAATTACAGGAGAATAAACAGTGTAACAAAAAAATCAACTTACTCACTGCCGCAGATCGACAACATCTTGTCATACCTAGGCAACGCAAAATGGTTCAGCAAGTTCGACATATTTTCTGGATATTGGCAAGTTCCAGTAGAGGAAAGTTTAAGGCAATATACAGCGTTTGTGGCACAAGGGCGTGGAACCTACGAGTTAAACGTACTAAGTTTTGGGTTGTGCAATGCCCCAACCTTCCAAGAACTTGCGGATCAGGTCTTCTGGGACATGAAATGGAAAGAAGTGCTAATTTACCTGGATGACATCATCATATTTTCCCAAACTTTCGAAGAACACTTACAAAAGCTAAGAAAAGTTTTTGAACGATTGAGACAAGCTGCTCTTTCGCTTAAACCAAGCAAATGCGAATACTTAAAACAGGAAATCAAGATACTAGGCTTTAATGTAAATGAGCAAGGAATTTTACCAGACAAAGAAAAAATAGTTGGCATCAGAAAATTTCCCACACCAAAGAAAATCAAGGATGTACAAAGCTTTCTTGGACTGTGCAATTTTTATAGAAAGTTTATTTACAATTTTGCATCAATAGCGAGACCATTGCATGAAGTAACAAAGTAAGGCATAGGCTTCAAATGGAGTACAAAGCAAGAAGAAGCATTCATAACTCTCAAAGAAAAGCTGGTCTTTGTACCAGTACTACAGCATTTCAATCCAAACAAAGATACTATCTTACACACTGACGACTGACGCAGCAACCTGTGGAATAGGGGCAGTTCTTTTACAAGAGGATAACAAGGGAGAAGCATATCCAATAGCCTATATAAGTCGCAGCCTGTCAAACAGCGAAAAGAATTATTCAATTAGCGAATTAGAACTCCTAGGCGTAGTCTGGGCCTTAGGTTATTTGAAGCACTTAGGGCGGTTATTATAAAACTACTTTGAGAGTTAACTTAAAGTTAACTTCTGGAATTACATGTAATTCAAGAAGTTAACTTTAAGTTAACTTTTAAAGCAGTTTTATAATACCCGCCCTTAGGCTATGGTTCGAATATAAACAAACGTTAACCAAAGTAACCAAATCGGTTGACAGATGGTGACTGAAAGTTCCGGTTACTTGGGAAACGCGAATATGAAATAAAAAATAATTGACCTTTTGTTTGAACGCCATATTGCGGTGCGCGAACATAGTTGCCAACAGTGGAAAAAAAAATGACTAGCGTTCTGTCAACAGTGTCAACTTTAAAATCCAAAGTTAGTGAATAAATTACATTTGAAATTTAAATTTGCCGCCTATTACGAATGTTTTTAGAAAGAAAAGCCATCAATTTTAGGTTGTATTGGGCAGAATAGAAATAATAAAATATCTAGTTGACAGCCCGCTAGTAATTTTTGGTTTTCTTGTTTTGGCAACTATGTTCGCGCACCGCAATATGGCGTCGAAACAAAAGGTCAATTGACAGAATTTACAGATAAAACCAACAGAACCAACATTTCATGAGCGGTAACCTATGGCGGTAACTATTTTGACATTTGGTTAACCAAATTTCAGGAAACCGAGGTCCAAAAGTAACCACTTTTCCAAGAACCAGAGTGATTTGTTCACTTTCGGACCGCGAAACCACAACCCTGGTTATATTCGGAGTACAGCCAAATATACGGCCGACCAGTGAAAATCGTGACTGATCACCATGCGCTCTGCTGGATGGACACCATTAAGGAAAGCAACAGACGCTTAGCCAGATAGGCACTAAAACTAGCCGAATTCGACTATACAGTTGTGTATAAAAAGTCTCGATCCACAAGGAGGCGGATTGCATGTCTCGCAACCCGGTACTACAGCCAGAAGCGCATGAACAAGAGGACCAAGAAGAACTCTCCACATTTGCACTACAAACATCGAAAATGTCACGTTTCAAAAAACAGACCCAAGCTTGAAACAACTCCTTTAAGCTGTAGGAAGTCCAGACGATCCAGAAATTGACATTGGTACCAGATGAAGAGCAAAAAATTTCGGGATCGAAGGAGGCCTATTATATAAAATTTGGCCAATCAAAAACCGGACCCCGCAAGGAAGCACACACGTTATGGTACCTACCTGGACTATTTACTGTCTTCACTAAGAAGACGCATCTGGTTAGACGGCAAAACCCAACCCGTGACGGGATCTCCTGGCGCACCCCAGTTTTTATCCACTTTTAAGTAATTGCATCGCCCTTAATTTCTTTCGTTTTTTGTATTATATTGTATTTTATTGATTCTATTTTTTTTTGTATTGTATTGTATTGTATCGTATTGTTTGTATTGTATTGTAATGTAATTCTATTAGGTAGGTATCTTGTCATTTTTTATTTTTATTTTTGATGTCTCTTCTACAAACATTGAAGGCCAATGCTTTTCAGAGGGGGGGCATATGTCAACTAGTAAAGTAAATACCACTCTGTACATCAATTTTACTAAAGTGTGTCGAAGAGTCAGCATTAATTTGGTATAAATACCGCGCCGAAATCTATTACCGGCAGACTAAGGCTAGTGCAAAGTACCTCTAATGGGAAAAGCCCCTCTAGCTAAGTCTCCTTCTAGTGCAAACTGTCTCAAACCTAGCTTCTTCTGGGAGCATTGAATGCAGCAGACTAGGTCCAGTGCAAACTACCTTTAATGGGAAACGCCCTTCTGGACCTTTCTCAAACCCAGCTTCAGTCTTCAGTCACGCCAAGTGTACAGAGGGTACATAATACAGAGTGGCCTATAAGTAGTACGTCCCTCCGTAGAAGAGACGTCATGATACTATAATTTCTAGGGTAATATTATTATTCAATACATATCTTATTGTACCAATACCAAGTGAGTTTCTCTCTACCTGAACCCCACCTACGCCCCCAGGTCAAGCTCCTGTTGTGACTTCCCAGGACGAAACGTTTAGGGGTTGTGATAATAGCATGGTACTATGCGTAAGAAATTAAATGTTTGTAACATGATGGCAATAATAGGAAATTGATAGAGATATGAATGGGTAAGTGTTCTGAAAGTTGAATGAGGGCCGTCAGGACAATAAAATTGGATTCAATTATTTTTCAGACTGGAACAAAAAACTAATGAGTTTTCAGATCAGCCAGCTCACTCTTATCTCTAATATGAGTCGTTTTCAACTGACTTCCGTTTTATTTTATTCCAGTTTTTTGAAGATTTCTCGATCTGCTAAATTGAACAATTTCGGCATTATCGTGCTGCCTTTCCAGGCCTCTTTTTTACTGCTACTCCTAGGGTCTATTTATTGTTTTGGGTATTTTTCTTACATATTTGTATGTTATTTTCTGTATTAAATAAATAAGACAAGAATACTCTCTGATTATTATTTAAATGTTATAAGGTTGTTTTATCTATAAATAATAATTTATTATGTTATAAATTTCAGATGTTTAACTAAAATCCTTATACGATCGACTATTCAAAAAATTAATACAAAATTCGACACTATGATAGGAAGTTAATAAAATATTTGTGTAGGTAATTGAAAGGAAATCAATCTTATTTTAGTATCAACATGTCACTGTTGTGGATCATCGCTGGTTTGTTGCTCATTCAGAGTATTTTTGCTTTTAATAATGCTACCAAGGTAAGTTAAACGTTTCATATGAAATGAAATATCGAGGTACAAAAAATGATTCTGATATAGAAGTCCATCGAAGAAATAATCAAAAATGCCAAACCTGGACATATGGAACTAGACCCAAGATATGGTCACATATTCGATACCAGTTTTTTTCAAAATTACGACAGTTCTCGTATAGCTGGAGGTGGATGGGAATCTGAACCACATTCTAGACCTTATCAGGTGAATATGATTTAATTGTAAAATGGGGAATATAAATGGGAGCGGTACAAAATCTGTCGTATTATAAATATACAAATTTTCTTAAGAATAAAGGAAAGCTTTAATATGAAAATAAAGTTGACAGAAATGAACAAAATGCAAAACAAAAAATGTGGAAATACTTGAATTATGAATTATTATCATTATATTACATAAATTTATTCTTAAGGTTGGTCTATATGTTCCCACACCGACTGGAACCAGCTTCTGTGGTGGTTCATTAATAGGCCCCTCGACAGTCCTTACTGCAGCACATTGCGTTATGAAGTTAGTTGAACCAATTAAACCGTTGCAACAACTAATTTTCAACTAACTAATTCTAGCCTCAATGATCAACCCATAATCATATACATTGGTGCCCATAACATGCCACCATTGTCTACAGAAAATGCTATACAAAGACAAAGCACTGAAGTCTTAATGCATCCTGACTGGAACGCTTTAACAATCCAAAACGACATAGCCCTTATTTATTTATCGGAAAACGTTTCTGAAAGTGGTAAGTGAACTAAGGGCGCATTGTGGAAATACCAATGGAAGTTGTTTTAGATCGGGTCAAATATATTCCTTTACCAACTAATACTACAAACATTTATGTGGGAAGAGAAGCTTTAGTGAGTGGCTGGGGACTTCCAGGTGATGGTCATACATCAGGTTCATCGGTTTTAAGAGAAGTCACATCTAAAATTATAAGCAGTGTGGCTTGTCGGTTAGCATATATGGGTGCGGTGCAAAGAACACATATTTGTATGTCAGGAGAAGAAAGAAGGAGCACCTGCAGAGGAGATTCTGGTGGAGCTCTTGTTATTGATGGACAAGTGGTAAGATATTTGACTACCGTGACTAAAATCTGCTTAACATTAATTTGCAGGTTGGAGTTGTTTCTTTTGGAACTGCTGCAGGTTGTGAAGTGGGGTGGCCGCCAGCTTTTGCAAGGGTTACATCCTATGTTGATTGGATTAGAGAAAATATGTAATAAGTTTGTTATAAAATGTATCCTAATGAAAAACGATTTTGAAGCTTGATAGTTTTTTTATTTAGTGCCAACTTTTTGAATGAATCAGTTTAATTTGAAACATCTTGATCCTTACACCTATACTGAATTATTTTATTTAATATGGTCAGAATCACTAGTTAAGTCTTGCCTGAAAACATATTCCTCTTTATATTCATTAATCGATTCACCTATGCAACTTTTTTTACAAGTATAAATTAACAAAACGCCCCAATCAATAATATTTTCTTTTAGAACCGATAGCATCTGCGGCATAATTTGAAATTCAAATTGCCTTTTGGTGCCACAATGTTTACATTTTGGTATGTTTAATGGTAAAGGTTCTTTTGCTATTAGAAGTGGCTCACCGCCACGGCTGTACCTTATTACTTGGTCCGGGTAGTCTTCAATTCGTTTTTTGAATTTCGCAAAAACTTTATCCATGTCCAGGGAGGCGTGGGCATCTAAATCCGACTCGGAAACTTCTTCTAGTGTTCCTGTTTTACCTTCAGCTGAAACAAATATTTTGTTAAAAATCCTGCATATGAAAATGTCCATGTGTATGGTATTAAAAGAAATAAATAAACTGTAATAATATGAATAGGATCCATGCACCCATGGGCCATGTGAAGTGGAGCAACAAAAATTTTACAGTCGACCAGTTCATTAAGTACTTACTGGTGATGATTATTTTAAAATATACAATCATAATTTTATTTTAGATGGTTTAAATAGTTTAGAATAGGTACAAAATACATTTATAGGGTTATTGAGGGAAAAAAATAAAAAAGGAATGCTTTGGGATAAATATGTCAACAACAGGATTGGTAGAAAACTATCACCTACAGAATTCAATGTAAAATGCTGAAGTTAGGGCCAAAACAAGTAATACTTTAGAAAATCGCAACTATTATAAAAACCTAAGAAATTTGACAAAGGCTGCTATTCGCTGTGAAAAAGGAGCATCTTTCACTTTTATTAAAGGTCAACACAATACTCGTAAACTGTGGAAAACACCTAAAGATTTTCAAGTTTATCATGCTAATAAACCTTCAAACCAATTTTGGTGATTCCAATCGCATTAATGATTATTTTTGAAGCATCTTCAATAAAACCGATAAATCTAATGATAAAATATCTTATTATAACAGCAATAAGTACTCGGAAAGATTACAGGACTCTCCGACTGATCGTTTGAGAATACAGATTGGCACTGATGTTCTTGGTTTCTCCAACTGTGCCAAAAATTTGGGATTACACCTGGATGTTAATCTAAGGTCCATTCATAAACATGTACAAAGTTTGCTGCAAAATAGTTACATTAAGATGAAGGTCCCATATACAAGCAGGTATATTCTTAATTTTAAAATGCGAAAAAAATTATGTGAATCACTTGTATTATCAATTTTAAGCTATTGTTTTATAGTCTACTATCCATTTCTAGATTTAGTCGCCAAAAAAAGAATCCAATATGCTCAAAATACATGTTGTAGATTTGTATTTAGCTTAAGGAAATATGATTCTGTGTCAGTTAATATTAATCGGATTGGTTGGCTGAAATGTGATATGTATAAATTATATTCATTGATTTTCTTTGAAAAATTATTAGATTGTAAGAAGCCTGTATATTTGTATAAAAAAATAGAGTGTAGGGCTGATGCACATAATGTTCATAATTTAAACTTAAGAAATGGTACAACTTTCACAATGCCTAAACACAGAACTTCACTATTCCAGAGAAGTTTCTCTTATTGTATGGTGAAACTGTTGAGCTCAGTTAATTTGCCTTTCAGAGAATACAGTGTATAGAAACTGCGATTAGAATATAAAAAGCGATTGTTACTAAATAGCTAATGTTACCTATATTGATGCTACAATTCCTGTTGTTATTTTTTTTACCTTTGAAATGTTGGCCCAATATGAGGCACAGATGGTAGAGTGGAAGAGTGATCATTGACTGAACTTCGCCACCTGTGTTCTTTATGTGTGAATCATATATTATATTATATTATATATTATAAATGCATGAATATGCGAATAAAGTCGTTTATTATTATTATTATTTATCATTATAAATTCAAACAAACAGTTGCTTAAGCATGACAGAAACTTGAGAATGGAATAGCAACTATTTACATACATTATTAACTGATCCGAAAGATATGGGGGGGGGGGGAAAGTTTCCTATCTAATTCAGCAAAATGTTCAGTCAAACCCGAGCGTAACTCCAACTTTGCCAGATAATTCGAAGGAAACTAATATATTGGACAGGATAGAGTTTACAGAAGAAAAAGTAAACAAGGCTTTGAGTGACAAAAAGTCAGAATTCAATCCGCCCAGATGGTTTTCCAATAGTACTTATTCCTACAAAAATGCAAAGCCTCTATTGGAAACCATCTTTCAGAATTATTTCAACAATATATGGATTCAGGAACGATTCCAGAAATCTGGAAACATGCAGCAGTAGTTACTCCACCTTATAAGAAGGGTGAAATTGTTACATATATTAAGATCAAATTTTATTGGCATCTCGTCCATCCTTGGAAATTTGACAGGTTGACCTTCCTATAATGAAACAATTTCTTGTGAAATGATGTCGGGGAAACTAGCAACACATTAGAAGCAGGATCTTTAAAATACACCTCTGCTTGTGCGGCTATATTACTGCTTTGTCCTGCTTCAAATTGCAACCCAGCAACACCCACCGTTTTCGAAATAAATAAATTTCCATTTTGGTTGCTAACTTCACCTTTGGCCACATATTGGAAGCAGGATTGCCAAAACATGTTCCTACTTGTATTGCTATGGTCCTGCCGTATCCACCTAATATTTTTAAGATACATACTGGTAGCATTACAGGGGTCTTGTCGTAGGAATAGGGAGAACTTGAGACACCATTGCCAAATGTATTGTAATGAATGCTAGTCTTTGTATGTTGGTATTTTAAATGGAAACAGCTAATTCAAACTAAACCATCCTCCTTAATTCTTGTTTTTGTATGTTGGTATTTTAGATGAAAAGAGCTAATTTAAACTATTTTTATTTATTTATATTTTTTTTAAAATTTAATTTCACCCTTTCGAGCCCATACTCTACACTGCAGCCTTTATAGGCTTTTTGTATTTCATTTGTATGGGCTCTACTCCTTCTCATTCATACTTGGAGATCTGATGATTGGCGGCAGCGCGGGCGACCTACCGTCCCGTACTACTGCGGTCACCCATCCAATCTCCATCCCGACACCACGTTGCTTGGCTTGAGTAGGCCGTCTCTCACGTCCTTGATCAAGAACCAACGTGCCGGTTAATTTAAACTAATCCGTCCTTATAATCAGTGCTAGTCTTTGCATGTTCTTATCTTAGACGAAAAAGGCTAATCTGAGGGTTGAATTGAAACTAACACATCCTTTTACTAAAAAATTCCCTAAAAAAAAACCTTAACAAAAATAAAGCCGGGTCCATTTGCTCCAAAGGCAAAACCTGAGCATATTCTAACTGGGCCACCGGCAACATACCTCTACAAGTAATCGTAGAAATCGAAGTAATAGTGCGCAACATATGCAGTTGTTTAAAAACTATCTCAATTATGACCCTTTCCCTGGAGTGAGTGATATTAAATAATTTTTCAATTCGGTTGTGGGAATTTTTAAATCGTGTCGATAACCAAGGAGCAATTCCATATCCACTGTCTTCAAAAAGACAGAAATTACCCTGAAATCTTGCCACACTTCTGTTTCCAGATTATGGAATCGTGAACACTTTCAGGACACTGAGCGTCTGCACTTGTAATCATTTCATTTGCATCACAAGTTACTTGCACATTTATCTAGAAACTCTTTTTCTGTTAATAAAATCTCCAAATTCTGGTGGTTTTTTAATCTGAATATGCGTACGATCTTTTATTCTTGCTTCTTTCATAGCATCTAGACTAGAAGGGAATTTTATCCAGTCGTAAACCTTTTTGAAGATACGATCAGCTACGGCATTAATGGTTTTGGTTTTGCATACTGTTGAGTGATGAACGTTAAAATCTTCACCAATACCTGTTTGGAGTCCGGTATCACTGACATATCGCAGAAATTCATCTTTTGCCCAGCAGTAAGTGCACCTCTTCTAGATTCATCTACCTCTGGTAAAAAATAATCCGTAAGAGTCTATATTTTCAATTTCGAAACGCATCAACACCTTAGAGCTCGGGCTGATGTTTCGTCTCTCCTTGTAGTTCTTGATTCTGTTACGAACATTTATAAAATGCACTATGATCAACAAAGAAATTAATTTTTTAACAACTACCGTCGCGAAAAAGTATGCTTTAAAAATAACTTGATAATCATCAAGTTCTTACTGACTAATTTAAGACAGATCTTATTTTTATTCGCATAAAAATAAGCCAGTTCTGGAAAAATATAAGTAAATCCTTACATTTTAAGTAACTACTTGAAATCAGTAAGAGTTTGCTTATGGTCATAACTCTTTCACATGAAGTAGTCACTGAGCTTTTATTCAATTTATATGGAGTGAATATTTAAATAGAAGGAAGTATAAGTTAATACTTTTTTTTATTCAATAGACCAAATGTGTCGCCAAGGGTGAAGTTAACAAACAAAACACACAGAGTGGTGTTGAGAATGTGAAAAAATGGTTTGATGTCCACAAATTATCACTACTTAAATGTGGAAAAAAACTAATTACATTGCCTTTTCTAAAATCGAAGTAAACCAACCACCATTTTCTTCAATTAAAATTAACAATATAGTAGATAGCATCCATGTGGTAACAAACACAGAATATCTTGGCATAGTGATTGATTGATCAATATCTAAAATAGGACTTGCATGTTGCCCATCTAACACAAAAGTTGAAATATTTAAATCATACATTTTATTCTTCAAGACAAATTTTAAATCAGTAAGTATTGAAGTCTGTATCAGAGCCTGGCCGAGTCAATTCTACGGTATGGAATTTTGGTCTGGGCCCTGGGGAAGTATGTATAACAACTCCCTTAAACCCCGTACGTACAAACTGTTCAGAAAAGAATATTAAAAATTATATTTAAAAAAAATATTTTATTTCCTTCTCATCTCCTCTACAATAACCCCATTTTGAACATAAGATCATTATTCTATCATACAGTTTGGTGTTATAAGCATACTCATGAAAGAATCTAACTAACTAACTTAACATTAATCGTCCACCTTATAGTTATATTAAGGTTTATAGTCCATCCATACGGATGCTTAGCATCTAAGGACCTTTATGAAAACATTAGATAAATATATTTTTCTGCGATTGACAAGAAATGTCAGCATTTTTGACTGGTTGACAGGTCGCAAAACTCAATATTCTGGTATTTTAATTATGTTTCGAAAGTTGCTAAGGAATCAATGAATAACAATACGGGAAACACTTTTCCGGCCTAGGCCGGGAAAGTGATTCTCGTATACTGCTGAATATTTGGAACCAAAAGACAAATATTTAACCGATCGCAGAAAAAATAGGATGTGTATTTCGGT